GGAGGTCTTTTAGAAAAGTTAAAACCTCATTTAATTTTATGTCTTATAGGGTTCATACTGTGTACAATATTGTATAACTGTAATAATTTAACTGTAAACCTAAAAATTTACAGCCAATTATGAAAGAGATGAACCTTAGCTCAGCAAATTGTTATTGAATATGTCAATGCTGTTGTAATGAAATGCTTCTAAGTATGTGGTTATTAAATTAATTATTTTTTTTAAAAACCTAACTAGACATTGATGTCGGTTCCTTAAAATGTATAATTATGGTTTTAAAACAATGTTCAGTCTTAACACATTTGAAATCAACTGAGATGAATGTGGTTCTGAATGAAAAATGTATAGGATTACAGCCTTGTTTGAACACTTGGGAAACAATCCGTATGTTAATAATCCCCTGTTCTGGGCCTGGCAAGATGACTCAGTGAATAAAAGCACTTTCCACGGGAGCTTGACATCTGAGTTTGAACCTGGAACTCACAAAAAACTGGATGTCATGGCATGCACCTGTAATGCCTGCACTCCTGTGGTGAGATGCAAGGTAGAGTCAGGAGAATCGCCTAGAAGCTCCTGGGCCAGCAAGCACTGGGAATGGCAAAAACAGGAGAGACTTTGCAAAATGAAAGGAGAGAATCAACTTCCAAAAGTTATCCTCCGACTCCCACATGAGTGCTCTGCTGCATACATACACACACATACATCATACATGCACAAACACAGAGAGAATAATAAAAATAATAATTCCCTCTTCTTTTACTTGATACATGTTTAGTTTAATTGTTAATGAATAATAGCTTACATACAGTGACACATGCGAATCCAAGCTGCATAACTCAATGAATTGTTGTTATGTACACATTCATGGAGCTGTCATCTCAGGGGGAAAATGGAGAACATTATCATTCCTTGTCTACCTTCCCATTAACAAGTCTACGAGGGCCAGTTTCAGGCCAGCCATGGCTACTTAGTCAAAGCTTGTCTTAAATTAATTAATTAATATTTCACTTTTGATAGATTTTTGTGAATTTTATACAGTATATTCCAATCCTATTTAATCCCCTTCCCATCCATATGCCTTACTAGTCCCCCCAATTCATATACTATAATATAAATATAAATTATATGTATATATATTATGGCCTACAGAATATAATCTATGTCTTTAAATGCCCTTCAGTGTGGATTCATCCACTGGAGTCTGGATAATCTACCAAGAGTATCGCCCTCAGATGGACTCCCCGCTCCCAGCATCCATCTGTTGCCAATACTTCCTCAAATAGGGTTGGGGCTTCTTACCCACTTGCCTGCTTCTATCCTAGTATTTTGTCTGATATTATGGCCTACAGAATATAATCTATGTCTTTAAATGCCCTTCAGTGTGGATTCATCCACTGGAGTCTGGATAATCTACCAAGAGTATCGCCCTCAGATGGACTCCCCGCTCCCAGCATCCATCTGTTGCCAATACTTCCTCAAATAGGGTTGGGGCTTCTTACCCACTTGCCTGCTTCTATCCTAGTATTTTGTCTGGGTTGAGATAGAATGGGACTTATGCATGCTGTCACCATTGCTGTGAATTCACATGAGTAACTGCCCAACTGCCTGGAAAACTCTGTTTCCTCATGGTCATGCACCATTCATGGCTCTTACATTCTTTCTGCCTCCTCTTCCACAATGATCCCTGAGCCTCAGGGGGCAGAAGTTTGATATAGGTGTCCTATTCAGGGATGAGCACTTGACAGTTCTTATTCTCTGCACATTGGTTACTTGTGGTTCTGTGTGTTAATCACCATCTGTTGCACAAAGGAGCTTCTCTGATAAGAGTTGATAGATGCATTAATGTATAGGTATAGCAATAAGTCATTAGGACTCAGTTTAATACTATACTTATTTTGCAGAAAAGTAGTATTAAACTTTCCCCCATGACATATGACCTGTCTAGCTTCAGGTTCCTAGGCCTGACATCATTGTCAGGTATGGGTTCCATCCTATGAAGCAGACCTTAAATGCAACTAGAAAGTTATTGGTTACTGCCATAATATTCATGCCACTATTAAACCTGTGGGCCTACCTTGCCAGGCTGGTGGTTGCAGCTTTCAGGATTCACAGTTAGATAAAGTTGGTGATTAATTTCCTTTTCAAGCAGTAAGCATAGCGCTTTCCAGAATTATGAAAGCTAACCAGTAGAGATGAGGCTTTGAAGCCAGCACCAGTTTGTTTGTTCTACAGTTCATGGGTATAGTGTCTTCAACAATAGGCTCTTACTGTGAGGTTCTGGTGGGTAACTGAGAGCAGAGGCAATGGCCAGTTAAGTTCGAAAGTCTATGGGACCCCTGGCCAACAGCTTCAAAAGAGGAAGTCCATTCCTGGAACTGGGCTTTTAATTTTGCTAGCTCATGGTGTCTAGTAGGGGTGTTGCCCCATGTTTTAAGGTATCCTTTAAATCTCTTTATATAATGTACATGTATATACTTTAAGAAGCTTCTATAGTGGCAGATTTCCATATGGCTTTTTCTAAAGGACTTTTGTGTTAGTATCCCTCCCCATACTCCCTTCTCTGCTCTGACATCAAAAATATGGAACGCTTCAAAGATTTGTGTGTCATCTTTGCACAGGGGACATGCCAATCTTCTCTATATCATTCCAATTTTAGTATATGCACTGCTGAAGTGATCACAAATAAGTATTTTTTTTAAGTCTAAAAGACCAATATTGTCTGTTCCTATCACAAAAAGGAGTCACATACTAGAGTCTTCCAGCTTCATTAGCTAATCATGTTTTCTGTTTCTTCTGTGCAGCTGAAGTACCTGGTGTTTGTGGTCCAGTCTTATCATTGCCAATTACACATTTAACTAATATTTAGATCGTCATCAGTTCAGAGCTGTTACTTTTTTTCAGGTTGCAATCTGCTCCATATTTTTGGAAACATGCTTCATGCTGTCAGCCCTGTAAATTTTAGTTACCCAGTGGATGTGACCTTGATATTATGTTTTCAGTCTGCACTTCTCTGGTGATGAATGTTGTTGTTCACATTTTTATATGTTCATTAGCTTTTGGAGAGTTTCATTTGGATATTTTGTGAAGTATTTTTAAAGTGTTTTCACTTATGTTTTGAAAACTATGTGGGGTTATTTTCTATTTTGATTGATTTTTCAGAACAGCTTACAAAATATGCTTCATGCATGTGTGTTACTATACTTTAATCTTTGCCTCCCCAAATGCCCTTGCCCATGCCTCATGCCTCTCTCTGATGGGTTCCCTTCCTTCCCTAGATAGCCCCCTTTCTCCTTCCTTATCACATTACACTCTCTATGTCGCACCTCCCTTAGATGTCTTCCTTTGTTCTCATAATCTCTGTACTAGTTTCCTGACCTCTCTACCATAAGACTTGATTTGCAGTCTAGAATGCGCTTGATTTGGTGAAGGTTCCAGTGGCTGCTGAGAAGTCTATGTATTCTGTATCTGTAGGATGGGATAGTTTCTACTTGCTAAAGTCTACTTGTTCTATAGCTTAACTCTGAAGTTTCTTTGATACTTAGTTTGCATGAACTACCTAGAGATGAAAGTGGGGTAGTCAAGTAACCCACTGTTATTGTATGAGGACCTATTGACCTCTTATGTCCATGTGTGTATGATTTGGATGCCCCAACATTTGGTGCATATATATTTATAATACAGCTCTTTATCAACCTTGTCCTCTGAGTCTATCAACCCCTAATGCTCTTCCTTCCATTTAGCAAAGTCCACTGGTGATGTTCTCCACAGTGGTTGGTGTGTATCCTTATTCGTGGAGTTTTTCATTTCCAACATTCCCTTTTTTCCACGTTCTCAGCTTCCCTGGTGAGTTTCTCCATGTAGCGACTTCTTCATCCACAGTGCTGGTTTCCTCACCCATTCTGCTTTTTCTCTGCATTGCTGACTTTCCCCTCTAGGCCTGGGTTGAATTCATCTGCTTACTGTAACCCCTTCAGGTCACTGATCTTTTCTTCTGAACTCTTCATCTGGGATCTCATCCATGTCAGTGCCTGCATTCAGCAGCTAGGACCTTGTGGAGGGTTGTCTTGCTTCTCTGTGGTTCTGCATTTCTGCGTTGTGGTTTGCATGCCTGCTACTTTGCATATATCTTCTATCTGTAAGGAAGGGTTTCTTACTAAGCAAACTATACTTGAAGGCTCAGTTCCCAGTACCTTTCAGTGAGGAGAAATAAATTGCTGCAGCAACAGCAAACCACACAAGATAAAGATATGTAATGCCCTGCAGCCCACTAAGCCTTCAACAATGAACATAAAACTGAAAATAGCAAAACTACTATAGAACAGGCTATGAAATTAGAAAATGTTTAGGGTAAATGTGGAAGCAATAAATGATTGAGATAAAGAAATAAGGTGAGAAGGGGGAGAAATAGAGAAGAAAAATTAAGTAAGAGTAGGAAGAATGTGGAGAGGAAGAGAAAGACCAAGAGCTTAGAAAAAATAAGAAAAAGTTACAATGATTAATAAGTTCAAAACCAAAATTAGATAAATGTAAGAAGGGGAATAAAAAATAACAATATAAGAGTATTAATTCGGGCTGGAGAGATGGCTCAGTGGTTAAGAACAGAGGACCCGGGTTTGATTCCCAGTGCCCATATGGTGGCTCACAACCATCTGTAACTCCAGTTCCGGAGGCAACCCCACACCGTCTCCTGAACTCCCAGGCATTGCACAACGCGGGTGCACTTACACACATGCAGGCAACACACTCATATGCATAAAAATAATAAATAAAATGTTTTAAAATATAAGGAAAATTCAAAATACTACTGAATGCTGGGGAAGGGGCAAAAACTCGGAGAACAAAAAAGAAACTACATAAAGGAAAAAATATAGCGTAATAATGAAAATTCATAAACAAAATTAGATAAATATATGAGCAAAATAGCATATATAATCATAATTTTTAAATAGAAAAAAATAATGTACACTGGTAAAATTGTAGTTTAAAAAAGGGCTGGCAGGATGGCTTGGTGAGTTACTTGTTGAGCTCTTGCAAACAAGCCTGAAGACCTGAGTTCTACTGCTGGGACCCACATAAAGGTGGAAGGAGAGAACTGACTCCCGAAGATTGTCCTCTGACCTCGACATGCATGTCATTGAACGCACATGCACATATATACATACACCTAAGTAAATAAATGAATAAATTTAAAAATGTCATTTTAAAAATCAGAAAGATGTGGAGCACAAGACAGGGAAACAAGGTGAGGCTTTGAGCAGCTTCTTTCTGGATCTTCCTAAATTGAAGACTGCCCATTACAGGCAAAGGACAGGGAGGTCAACTGAACTTGTAGACCCTTGTCTTTCTTATGATTTATGGTGCTCTGAGTTTGGTGCCCCCCCCGCCCCCAGAACTGTCTTCACAGTCATTGCTTTCCTTCTTTGTATACCCAGGGCCTCTAGTGTCACACTTAGATTTGTAGTCTGTGGGCTGGGCAGGTTCCATCACCCTCCCAAGATGCCCCAGATCACGTCCTGTGGGGTAGCTCCTAAGCACATTACTAGTGTGGGAAGCAACCATACCTTCACATTTTCAAGACCCCCTGAGTACTAACCACCCTGCTGGAGGGATACAACTGTGGGTCTCCAGAGCATCCCTGGAATTTCAGACTTCTCAAGCTCTACCAGCTGTGGATGACAGACTGTGTTCCACCTACTCACCTCAGGCAGTAGCCAGAGCTATTCTCATTGACGAGATCTGCTCCCAACCACCAAAGCTGGGGCTATCTGTCCTTATGCACTTCTCTGCTTTAGCCAAGCTCCTGCCACCCACACCATTTGGTTTGTCCCTCCTTCTTTCCCAGGCTACCTCTCTGGGCCTTCCCTCTTCCGGGAAAGAAAAATGTTAAAAAATAAAAGCTTATGAAATAGCAAATTATTGTTAATGGAGCCAAAAGTTGTTCTTTTTAAAAGATTAGTCAAATTGATATGACTCTTAAGAAGGGAAACAAATTGGCAATATAAGTACTAAAAAAAATGGGCCAACCTGACAGATGGTGCATATTTTTTAAATAACAGAGGAATATTTTTAAAACATGACAAAGTTTAGAACCAGCAAGTGTGGTGGTGCATACCTTTAATCCCAGCATTCAGGAGGCAGATGCAGGCAGGTATCTATGAGACTGAGGCCAGCCTGGTCTACATAGTGAGTTCCAAGCCAACTAGGGCTACAGGGAGACCCTGTCTCAAAAAAACAAAAATTTAGATCCAATAGAGAAGCTGCTTGAAAAATAAAATCAGCCATACTTGACTTGGAAAGAAATAGTGAAATCACAATAATCGTATTGATATTGTAGATATAGAAGTAACTAAAATCCTACCAAGAACACTCTATACCTAATGCTTTCAACAATTAATCCCCCAAGTATTAAAGGAAGAAATATCACCAACATCACAGAAAAAGGAGGAGAAATTATGGTTTTTCTCTAATCAAAACTACAAACTTCAAACTAAACAAATTGAATTTGCTATATCAATTCAGTTTATTCAAATAATGCAAGGCTAGCTTAACAGCCAGAAAACAACCTATGCATTTCATACATTCTTTAAAAGATAGGAAGAAATCATGTAGTAATTTTGGATGATGTTGAAAAGCAGTTTAAAAAATTCAGTACTTGTTTGTGATTCAAAACATTTAGGAAACTAAGAATGCAGAGGGCAGAGAATGGGGGGTGGGCAAGCATCCTAAATCCATACAAGCCAATAACAAAATTGCCTCCCCCGATTTGTGTGTATGTGCGTGTCTGTCTGTCTCTGTCTCTGTCTCTGGGTCTGTCTCTGGGTCTCTCTGTGTGTTTAGCACTGGGAATTGATCCTGGGTCCTTGTGTGTGCTGGCCAAGTACTCTATACCTAATGCTTTCAACAATTCCTGAGCCTGGCCCTGAGGAATCATCTCTAATATGCAATATTGAAGGATTGATACCAGGAATGGGACAAAAACGCTTGCTATTTCCACTTCAGCTTATGACTGTGCAAAGGTTGTAGCCAATACAGCAGGGGGAAAAGCATGAACATGAAGGGGTTGGAGAGATGGCTCAGCAGTTATGAGCACATGCTGCTCCTCCAGAGGAACCACATTTTGGCTCCCAGCACTCATGTCAGGTAGTTTACAACCACCTACAACTCCAGCTCCAATGTATCAGAACATTTCTTCTGGCCTCCGTGGACACCCAAACACAAGTGGCATACACACACCCAGACAGACACACCCATACACAAAAATAAAGATAAAACTCTTAACATACTAACACAAATAATGAAAGTTATAAAAATTGGAAAGGAAGAAATAAATTGTGGTCATTCTCAGATAATATAAATTTTTTCTGCAGAAAATCCAAAATACAATTCTATTTTACCTACAAGTGATGTTAGAAAAGTTTTTTGAGGACTAGTGTTATGGATCAGCAGGTAAAGGTCCTTGCAGCCAAGCCTACGGATCTGAGTTATCTAAAAAGTAGAAGAATAAAACTGACTGTGACATGCAGGAGTCAGTGCATGCACACGTGCACACACACAAAAAAATTAATTAATTAATTAAATAGACGAATAAATAATATAATAAAAATGTTAGTTGGTGCCATGTCAATATAAGACAAAATACACTTGGTAGAATAATCATTACACAATTAAAATATCAA